ATTTGACCTAAAAACTGCTTAATTTTTTTTCTCGCATGATTTAACCGATTTTTTTATTTGATACTAATATCGAATAAACCTTTAGTCAAATAAAATAAATTTCAGACCTAGATAATGATTCAATAACTAGTTACGAGCCGTCAAAGTTCAACAAAAGTACAAACCACGATAAAAAATTCAAGTTCGAATTCGATTTAAAAAAACACTAATGGTGATAATGGATTGCCAATGATCTTAAAAATATCTCTACCTTCTCTTCTTTCCAATGATATATCACACGTAGTAATTACATATTAAAATTGATTAAAAATTCAAAGTTTATGGAAGAAAATGGAGTAATAATACGAAAATTATCCATACAAAGTTTCTTCAAACATCTCATATTTTCTGCTATACTCCTTTTCATAACTATTTTTGTGTGTTTTTTGAAAAATGAATTTAAAAACAATAATCAAATTATGATGAAAAGAGTTTAAAAAAATTCAAAGTAAACTTTGTATGGATAATTTTTGTATTATTACTCCATTTTCTTCCATAAACTTTGAATTTTTGACAAATTTCAATATCTAATTACAACGTGTGATATATCATTGGAAAGAAGAGAAGCTAGAGATATTTTTAAGATCATTGGCAATCCATTATCAAATTGATTAAAAATTCAAAGTTTATGGAAGAAAATGGAGTAATAATACGAAAATTATCCATACAAAGTTTCTTCAAACATCTCATATTTTCTGCTATACTCCTTTTCATAACTATTTTTGTGTGTTTTTTGAAAAATGAATTTAAAAACAATAATCAAATTATGATGAAAAGAGTTTAAAAAAATTCAAAGTAAACTTTGTATGGATAATTTTTGTATTATTACTCCATTTTCTTCCATAAACTTTGAATTTTTGACAAATTTCAATATCTAATTACAACGTGTGATATATCATTGGAAAGAAGAGAAGCTAGAGATATTTTTAAGATCATTGGCAATCCATTATCACCATTAATTTTTGTTTCAATCGAATTCGAAGTAGAATTTTTTATAGTGGTTTGTACTTTTGTTAGACTTTGGCGGCTCGTAACTAGCTATTCAATCGTTATTTGGATCAGAAATTTATTTTATTTGAATAAAGACATATTCGATATTAATATCAAATAAAAAAAACTGTTGAAATCACGCGAGAAAAAAAAATTAAGCAGTTTTTAGGTCAAATTTCGGAAAAATCTGAAAAAAGTATAAAAATTGACATATCTCCTAAACTATAAAACTTTATTTACAGAAAGTAAGGTTCAATAATTAGCAAATGACCTCCTCTATACGCGTATTAGCTATGGCGGGTTCAGTTCCAGTCACCCTGTATAGGGTCCATGGATGGTGTGCTCGTCTGACCATCGTACAGTTATCGTATGGGAATAATCAATTTTTTCTTTTATCGATTTATTGCTCATATCACATCCCTATTACATCACTATAGTTTCATACGTCAAGTTGAGTTGATCAACTCTGCCATTTTGGTTCGTGCGGCTGTCAGAGAACATGGTGAGCGTCGATGTGTAAATTAATTTAAAGCTTAAATTATTTAGAAAATCGCAAACAAATTTGATATAGTGTGATTACTTAAATGATTTACTATGTGCTACGTATTAAATTCTCATAATATTTCCATATTCGGAGTTTTTACAAGTTTTACGTACCATGGCATATGATGAACAACCTATAAATTTTTCAAACGGTTAGAACCTGAATCGATGTGAAGATTATCTAGGGCGGACTGATGCCATTTGATTCTACGCTACAGTATGTTATTGAAGGAAGTTCTTGTGTTAAAACATCAATTCTCTGCGTTTCCAGTCGCACAGGAAGTTTTCAGCGCCCCGTCATGGGTCTATGGGATTCTACCCCAAGAAGAGGTCCCGCCGTCATCGTGGAAAGGTGAAGGCATTCCCTAAGGATGATGCTAGCAAACCTGTTCACCTCACCGCTTTCATCGGCTACAAGGCTGGTATGACCCACGTGGTTCGTGAACCTGACCGTCCTGGTTCAAGTGAGTATAACAATTTCCTTCAAGATAGTTTCGTGTTGTGACATTGAAGTAAATCTAACGACCAGAGTGCTAAAATTAATTCTGTATTGATCTAAAATAACATTACCTCTAGAAACTTGATCTTGCAAGTAGTCCTTGAGCTTGACCAACAAAACGCCAAGCTTAATAACCTTACAATATAATAACTCTAATCTTTAGTTGAGTAAATTCTTGTCATTATAGAAACATTGTATGCCTTTTACAGAGATCAACAAGAAGGAAATCGTGGAGGCTGTGACCATCATTGAGACGCCTCCCATGGTGGCCGTCGGCGTGGTCGGCTACATCGAGACCCCGCACGGTCTGCGCGCCCTGCTCACGGTATGGGCCGAGCACATGTCCGAGGACTGCCGTCGTCGCTTCTACAAGAACTGGTAACTATTTTACAGATACAGCAAAATATTTTTCAGTTGTAAAGTCAATATACATTATAATTCTTTCAATAGTACAAATTAAAGTTCAGCTGTTCTCATGTTCATCTGGTACACTAGAAATAACCTAATTCTGAAATAGTATAGGTATATGAAATCATTTTTGTTAGTGTAGTTGGCTCACAATTAATTATTATCTTGTTCTATTTTATGTTCAAATGTAAACAAATACTAATAAATTCAAAATAGCTCTCCTCTCATTGATGAGGGCAACCTTAGAATATGCCAAGGGCATGTTTGCTACCAAGCAGTCTCCGCTCAACGATGAGGCTGTCTGGTTTTTCTTGCAGCACCTGCTTTACTAGTGTGATTCAATTAGGTACAAATGCAAGAAGAAGGCATTCACTAAGGCGAGCAAGAAGTGGTCAGATGAGCTTGGCCGCAAATCCATCGAGAAGGATTTCAAGAAAATGATCCGTTACTGCAGTGTTGTAAGGATCATCGCTCACACTCAGATGAAACTCCTGAAGCAACGCCAAAAGAAGGCCCACATTATGGAAATCCAAGTCAATGGTGGAACCATTGAGGACAAAGTTAAATGGGCTAGGGAACATCTTGAAAAGCCCATTCCTGTGGACTCTGTGTTTGCCCAGGATGAGATGATTGATTGCATTGGTGTCACCAAGGGAAAAGGATACAAGGGTATGTTTATCTTGCTTACAACTTGTTGTTACTAATCCCAACTAATATTATAAATGCGAAAGTAACTCTGTCTGTCTGTCTGTTACGCTTTCCCGCTTAAACCTCGCAACCGATTTTGATGAAATTTGGCATAGAGATAGTTTGAGTCCCGGGAAAGAACATAGGATAGTTTTTATCCCGGTTTTTGAAACAGGGACGCGCGCGATAAAGTTTTTCTGTGACAGACAAAATTCCACGCGGGCGAAGCCGCGGGCGGAAAGCTAGTGTCTGTTATAAAGTATCTAATGTTTTTTTCTTGTTATAGGTGTCACTTCACGTTGGCACACAAAGAAATTGCCGCGCAAGACACACAAGGGTCTACGTAAGGTTGCCTGTATTGGAGCATGGCATCCTTCAAGAGTAAGCTTCACTGTTGCCCGTGCTGGTCAAAAGGGCTACCACCACCGTACTGAAATGAACAAGAAAATATACCGTATTGGACAAGGTAATTATAAATTATTGTCTAAACTGTAATAGGTATTCTGTAAAAGTATTTGTATGCTAATTAAATGTTGTTTCCAGGAATCCACACTAAGGATGGAAAGGTTATCAAGAACAATGCTTCTACTGAGTATGATTTGTCTGAGAAGTCTATCACTCCAATGGGTGGATTCCCTCACTATGGTGAAGTCAACAATGACTTCGTTATGATCAAGGGTTGCTGCATGGGACCTAAGAAGCGAGTCATCACTTTGAGGAAAGTAAGTATACCAAACCTACACCATAGTTTGTAAGGATCCATCTTGCAACCTGTATTGTATAATAATATCCATTTTACAGTGATCTAGCTAAAGACTTGACAAGATGAGACTAGTATGGCGGAATTTAACCAAACCTTTGTTTTTTCTAGTCCCTGCGCGTGCACACCAAGAGGGCGGCTCTGGAAAAGATCAACCTGAAGTTCATCGACACGTCGTCCAAGTTCGGTCACGGTCGCTTCCAGACGCCGGCTGACAAGGCTGCCTTCATGGGCACGCTCAAGAAGGACAGGATCCGTGAGGAAGCCGCGGCCACCACCACTCCCGCAGCTGCCCCGCCGTCCTAAACATCTTTGGACTAAAATAAAATGATAAAAACTTGACTTTTGTGTTATTATTTCCTTGTTACACTGGATATTTAATTTTACAACTTCTACCTTGCTCTAATAACATAAAAGCCACTCACAAGTACACTCGCAATCACTACTAAAACCTGAAGTAGGCAGGTCAGGTAGTCATTCTGACTTCAAGATGGATAAGACGACATGGACATTACTATCATAGTCATAGGTGATCGGAAATATGCGAGATGCATTTCACTTTGATCTGACCACAGCCACAGACCCCATGTCTACTAAAAACGGAAGGACAGGGCAGGAGGAGGAGGACACTGGAGGAATATAAAGTTAGGAGGCAGGCAAAGTTAAAAGGCAGCGAAAAAAATTGGATGAGCTATAACTACAGGGAAAGATGGAAAATGGTGAAGGAGGTTTACCTAGCTAGACGACGGCGCCATCTTTCAAAGGTAGGAGGCCTTTGCCCACATGATCCACACCAATAATCTAATAATTTAGATGCGAAAGTAATTGTCTGTGTCGCTTTCACGCCTAAACCACTGAACCGATTTTGATGAAATTTGGCATATAGTTTTTTTATCCCGGTTTTTGAAACAGGGACGTCCGCGACGCCCGTTCGTGAAAGTTTTTCTGTCACACGAAATTTCACGCGGGCGTAAAGCTAGTATTAAATAATATGTACCTAGTTCCAAAATTACAATGTAATTTTTTATATGATAGGTGGACTTGATTGTATGGAATAAATAAAGCTTAATATTATTCAGTGATGTCCCTATAAACTTTATTTGTTAGGATTATCAAAAAAATTATTCTTAACAATATGTCTAATACATTGTAATACAATGTTACGTTCCTGTTGTACTTCTCTCTTTAATAATTTGTACAAAAGAGTAGAGGGAATTTTTCTTTTGGGTTTCATAAGCATTCGTCTGCTAGTGTTATTTGCTATATTTTGCTTGGCTTTTGAACATTTTATCATCTTTGGTTGTGCAGGAGTAGTGCTAGTTTCTGTTATTTTATCTATTTTTGTTTCTTCAGGTCCACTGTCATCATCACTTTTATTGCCATTTTCTTTTGCTGGCTCATTTAATTTTGTTGCTATATTCTCCATCAATTTAACACTGGATACACTTTGCTGTTTATCAGTTCCAGTAACTTTATCTAATTGGACAAAATTAGTAGCTGTGGGCCCTTTGCAATCATCTGTTTCTTCTTCAGAAGACTCATAATTACACATGAGTGATGATAATGCCCCACAAACCATTGGTTTATTGTCATCAGTTATATTTTGTGAATCTACATCAGGCACTGAAGATTTCTCCATGTCTTCATCATCTATGACAAACTCACAATTAATATTCTCAACAATTTCTTCTGAAGTATCTTCCATAACAATTTCTTGTATACCAGCGAATGGCTTTAACTTTTGTAAGCTATCGGCAGTTGGCAACACACAATGATCTTTTTTAGGAACTTTAGATTTTCGGTGTATATTATTTGATGAGAATGTTTTTTGCCTATGATCCTTTTGTTGATTTCTTCCACTTCTTGGCATGCGATTCTTATTTGAATCATCTGAAATTAAAATTAAAACTGTAAAATAATACCATAACAAGACAGAATGTAAAACAATTTAAACATAACATAAAAATATGCATAGGTACCTCTTCTTTGATTAAAATTTTTCATTCCCATTCTTTCACCTCTTTCAATTTTTGCCTTAATTTCTGCAGATTTCTTTTCAATATTATCTTTTGTTGGATATTTTCTCTTTCTTTCTTCCCGCCATTTTTGTATTTCTTCAGGGTTATTTAATTTAGCAATTTTATTGTACAGTCCAGTGGAATGTTGCATTTGAATATGTTTTGTTATTACTTTTGGATGTGCTATGAACTGGCAACCATCAATGTTACATTTCTGAAACAATTTATATTTTTACAGGTCTAAATTAACAGACGTATTACATATGCTAAAGGTAGGAGGAAAGAAGAAAAATAATACATACCTGATGTTGATGTTTATGTTTCTCCAGAAGGTCAATAGAGGGAAAACCTCTGTCACAGGTTTCACACCAATGCTCTTCATTATAGTTTTCATTTAGAGGTTTTCTTTCTAGCCGGTTGTAAGTTAAGTGTTTTCCATTATGTAGCCTGGATTGGATGGATGGATAATCATAATTTGGTTGATTAAAATGTGTATTTCGAAAATGTGCAGCTTGCATAATTGAAAACAAAATTGATCTATGCGCTGAGGAAGTATTTACAAGCTAGCGCTGTGGGATATACCGAATGTTGAAAACAAAGTTAGATATTTTTAAAATTGGTTCAGCAATTTCCAAAATAATTATTCTCTTTATCACACGCACACGGCATGCTTTTATTTTGACATTTGTCAATTTTGACATTTTCTTTTTTTAATATACCGAATGAAATTAAAACAAAGATAGACAGTATTATAAAATGATTAATCGTATCAATATCGTATCCTAGTGTAGCCGATTTGTTTGAATATACTTTCTCTTTAATCTGTGGTGTGGTAACTAGTTTGTTGACTTTGCCATTGACGTATATAGATACTGTGGACCGGGTATACCTATAAAATAAATGTGCACGATTTGGGAAAAGAACATGGCCGCAAATAAGCAATCAGCGGTGGGTCTAGTCAAAACGCACTTTAAAATCGCAAACCCATCGCAAACCAGTCGCAAACAAATAAACAAATCGCAAAAGAGGTCGATAACAAAAAAGGCTTAGTCAAACGGCAAAAAATCGAATCGCAAAGCCCTACCTATCGATAATCGAAAGACTGGATTGAAATTTCCCATACAAAGGCTTAGCCAACATGCATTTAAGACTCAATCAAAATCGAATCGAATCGCAACACCCGCCATTTTCATTGCGATTACTAAAACCCCGGTGATAAGCTTCGATTCGATCGAAACCAATAGGGTGAGTTGCACCACCTAACTTTAAACGTAACTATGACGTTAACCGGTGTTTTTTGTATGGAGATTGACAGATTTTAGACGTTTGTCAAAGTTAAACTAAGATGGTGCAACCCACCCTAAGGNGAGATTTAAATCAGAAGATAGCAATACTACACAGTTCACACTAAAAAGAGAGGTAGGGCCGCAGAGAGCGAGATAGATATAAGTAGGTATTTGACTCAAGTTTTTGTTCCAACTCTGCCCTCCATTTTTATCTTTAGCTTCATGGGGTATAATACCTATAAAATAAATGTGCACGATTTGGGAAAAGAACATGGCCGCAAATAAGCAATCTGCTATTACCCTATTATTTGTCAGCATTACCCTATTACGGCTATGTTTCTTTCCCAAATTGTGTATGTGTATCGAGTTTGCAGAGCCCAACAGGGTCCTTAATGATCTTGATCTACAACATAATGTATAACACCTAAAATGTACTATTAAGGAAGCAATAAACATATTGAGTGTCGAGCACGCGTCAGATAGTTGGTGACGTCACATGAAAAAGGTTGCCAGAATGAGTATTGACCAATCATCTTTTTCATACGTCACCATGGGTATATTATAGAAATAAAGAGCTGTTTGGTCATAGTGTCAATTTTAGTATAGATCAATAGGGCCTCTCCATATATTTGATATCCCTATGGACTTTGCTGTCTCAGCAGCTGTCTTGACTGTCACTGTCAGTGTCATCAGCAAGCAGTACACAGTTGTATTGTTTTGCTTCGGTTTTGTTTGAAATTATTGCAAAAAGATAGAGTACACAGCAGGAATAAACAGCTCTAACGATGAATAACTCTGCAGCAAAGGTGATTCAATTGATTGATTTTGTAATTCTTAGGTGTGAAGTTAACAGTGTAATTTCCAGTAGAACCCTTAAGCTCTTGAGCACTGGAGCATTTTACTAGGGCATTGTGGGGCTTAATTGATTGGTCGTAATGTATTTAATAGTTCTTTATTTGATGATTTTCAGGTTGGTGAAATATTTACGGAAGCTGGTGCAGCCTTCAACAAACTAGCTGAAATGACCATGTTGTTGCATCCTATTGCTGAAACTTCGCCTGGGTAGGTAGTTATTATTATGTTATCTAAATGACTTTACTTTTAATGAATTACTTGTTAAACACTAACACTAGACATGGATACAATTTGACTACAATCTTTACTGCAATAAAATTGAGTAGCAAGCAACATGATGATTTTATAACAAAAGCATTTCATGCCTATCTCAGTTACTGGTTTTTCCATAAATCTGGTCATAAAATGTAGAGATTTGGTCAACTTTAATACAATAACTTTATCTACCATTTCAGAACACCAGCTAAAACGCCAGTGAAAAGGAAATTGGCTGATGAGAGGCTGTCAGGAGGCAGTGCAACTACACCTCAACCCCAACATACAATTCACACCTCGCCTATATCTCAGCAGGTAGTATGAAAATAAATAATTGTTGGAGAAAAGATTGCAAAGTGCTAATGAAAAAGTGAAATGTTTTGATTTTACTATGAAGTGTGAAGTTATACACTTCAATAAGACCAGAGGTGGAATTGTGTAAAGCAATCGTAATCATTTGACAGCTCATAACGTACGATTATTCTGTCAAACTCTTTGTTTAGCTGACTTTATCGTACGTTATGAACTGTCAAATGATTACGATTGCTTTACACAATTCCACCTCAGATTCTGGATTTAAATGATCGATCAACTCCAACAACAAAATTTTAATATTTTTGTATTTTTAGGTAACATTGAACATGCTGAATGCTCAAGAATCAGAAATGGATGTGGAAGGTCTAAATAATGAAATGAAATTGGAATTCGAGTCCAGTACTGAAGAAGTTGCGACATAGGAAATAAGACAATGACTTGTAAGAAACAATTTGTAAATCCTTATAATTATCATTATCACCTTTCAGTTTTATTACAGATACCTTATATGAGAACATAGTAATAAAATAAATTATTTTGTATAACTTTGTATTTTTCTGTTCCAAGAAGAGCTACCAGATTCATATACTTTTTTATGCCCATTTTGTATCATAACATTTTCAATTTCTAAATCAACATTGCTTCTTATTTTTAAAGTTTCATACAGTGGAAATGTGCTTCCAGACTTCTTGATTCTTTTCTGAGCATTTCTATAGCAGTTCCATGGTTGTGGCTCAATTATTATTGTTGTTGAAATGCTTTTGATATATTGTAGAAACTGTTCTAGCCCTTCATCACCATTGTTTAGATGAATCCACATTGTTACAGAAAAGCAAAATGTTATGTCAAATGTTTGCTTCCCATGATCTTCTAGGTACTTCTTTACTACTTGACGGTCTGCTTCATCCATAACATTTAAGGTTTCATATNTTAAATATGTAGTGATAGGGCAAGGGTTTGTTTCCTTAGCTCTTTGAATTAAGGTTTGGTCAATATCTACAGCTAAAAAGTAAATATCTGATTCTGTGTAGACTTTTTTGATATAAGCTTGCAATTCCTTTGTTAGTTCTCCGGTGTTACAACCAATATCCAGGCATAGTATTGGTTCTTTGGTAGTTGTGGCAGGAAACATATTGTCATGTAAGTTTGTTATCCTCTGTGCTGGGCTGTGAAATGAGTAGTAATTTATGAAGTTACCATGTTTTACTGCTCCGGGGTCACTTCCAAGAAACTGTAGTTCATTCATTTTTTTTATATTAAACTAAGGAATAAATAAATAATTAGTTTAGTTATTTTCCTATTCTATCGTGCACTGTACTATCTCCATTGACCTACAATATTGAAACGAGTGTACGTCAGCAAATACAATAAATGGCAAAAAGTAAACAAAAAACAAATTGAGGTTATATTAGTAACTTTGACAGTAATGACAGTTGACGTTTTAATTTTTTTATGATCCATTTAAGCGGGTTACCTACACCATATCGAATTACAATTACAAATGATCGAAAATCAAAATATCGAACACGTTTCATCGAACGACCAAAATATCTAACGTTCAGAATATCGAATTTACAAATGATCGAACGATCAAAATATCGAATGATTAAAATATCGAGAGTCGACCTAACGTTGCATCCCAACTATCCCAACTAATATTATAAATGCGAAAGTAACTCTGTCTGTCTGTCTGTCTGTCTGTCTGTCTGTCTGTCTGTTACGCTTTCCCGCTTAAACCTCGCAACCGATTTTGATGAAATTTGGCATAGATATAGTTTGAGTCCCGGGAAAGAACATAGGATAGTTTTTATCCCGGTTTTTGAAACAGGGACGCGCGCGATAAAGTTTTTCTGTGACAGACAAAATTCCACGCGGGCGAAGCCGCGGGCGGAAAGCTAGTAGTTTATAACAGAAAGATGGAGGTAAGGGTTTCTTGTTGACTATGGTACCCAAAAGTGGGAAATAAAAAAAATGGGTTTGAATTTATGTTTTATTTACATTTTGTATGTGACATCCTCATGTTTATGAATGAATAAATGATTATGATTACATTAATCATATGAATGACATTTAATTAAAACCTCTATATTTATTTTTCGATATTTTAATCATTCGATATTTTGATCGTTCGATGAAACGTCGATATTTTGATTTTCGATCATTTGTAATTCTAAGGTGTAGGTAACCCCATTTTTGCGGCTTTAGACCAATAAAGAAGAACGGTCATCTGTGACCCAGGCCCGACAGAAACGAGACATATATACGGGTCATTCCACAAAAATATGTCAACTCTTAGTCCGCGCCACATTTCACATGAAATAATTTGTTAATATTTTATTCCAAAATTGTTAAATAACAGCTCGCAATGTGCTTTATTCATCACCCATTTATATTTTTTGAAACTATTTTTAAAACATCTTAAATTCCTTTTGAATGACCCAAAACGTCATTCCCTAGGCATGTCCGTACTCCAAAAGTTTGTGTTTTGGGACCCACAGTTATAAAAACATCAACTTTATCCTTTGTTTTAACTAACGAATATTCTATATAAATGTATATTACACCAAATTCTATTAATATTTTGCGGTTGCAATAAACAATAATTTGATTTTCTTTAGTTGAAAAAGAGTCTACAGCTTTTAGCGTCATTCCCTCGCCACGCACTGGTTTTATAATTTTGCGCTTTATTATGTATTTAGAGTGAATGCCATTTAGTTGAGTTTAAAGTACGATACGAAGTTATCTTCAGACCATACTTGCTTTGCGGTAGCCGTTTTTTGAATTAGTGCAAACGTGCCAGTTGTTGCGGAAACATGTGTTAATCCAGTCACTTCGTCAGTCCCTAGTTGAGTAGCTTTATTGATTACAATAAGAAATTGTATATAATTTAATTAGTATTTACGTGTGGTTTTTTGGCTATTTTCGGCACATCGTATTAAGCATCTTATAATATAAAGTTAATCTGCATTTGTGTTAAGTTTTACTCCAAATCGTCAGTCCCTAGAGCGTCAGGCCCTAGCTTTAAACGGCACTTGGGACTAAATTACTAGTTAGGGAATGATGTTTTTTATATAGTGATAATAACAAAACAACTACATTATGTATATTAACTTATCTATAAATGTTAAGGTTATAAGTTTTATACTTTATTAGAAGTCATATAGGAGTAATGTAGTATGAAAAAATTGAAAATTATAATTTCTCCTAAAATAAAGCATAAAATGACTGGCCCTTTTAGACATAACATAATTAATTAATAAACTATAATTTACACTAATAAAGTATTCAAAAGCATCTTAAAAAAGTTACGGACAAAATGACGTCGAAAATATACAGATTTTTATGGAATGACCCATACATACATTTATAGTTCCAAAATATAGATGACCCACGCTGAACTGTCCCGCCAAACTCAATGACAGGGGGGCGCTACCATCGTTCAACTATATGGTTTCCAACATGGCAAAAATCTGACCCAGCGATCCGGTATTGACGGTGGCGCCCCGCTGTCAATGTCATCGATAGGACAGTTCAGTATAGTTCCAAAATACTGGACGCCCCCCTGTCATTGAGTTTGGCGGGACAGTTCAGCGTGGGTCATCTATACCAATTTTGGTGATAAATAAGCATTTTGTATTAGTTATTGTATAACGCCTAAACAAAAACAAAGGGTAATATTTTGGTGTTATACATAGATTTCGAATATAAAAAATATATAATTTAACTAATTAAGACATGACAAAAAAACTGAGGTATGTCTCGTTTCTGTCGGGTCTGGGTTTTTTTTTGTATGGGGCGTGGTGACCGTTCTTCTTTAGTTAGCCATCCATGTCAAAGGACCGTGTCAAAGGCGTTTGTGTCCTCTCCTTCTTTTTCCTTTTCTTTCCACTTTATTTAAATACATCGTCTTCTAGAGGATATAAATACAAATAAAGTGAAAACAAAAATGTTTGTATGTAGCTATTGAGTATAATCAAATTATCATAATTTTAGCTTTACTCACAGAACTATAGTACAAACTCTATGGGAAACTGTGTCAGCTTAACTATTTCGCTTCGCTGCTGCAACCCTGCAACCCGCAAGCTTGGAAAACTAGCATTGTTCCGGGAATAATAAAATATTCGCCTACCACCAACTCCATCTACGCGGGAAATTTGAGGGTTGAATAGATGAGGGTCCCTATTGGGTCGCTGGCTACTAATTTTGATGTTTTGAACTAGATGGCGCTAAATAGCTAAACTTCCTGAAGTCGGTTTCAGCATGGATTAATAATTGTTTCTGTAGTTGTTCTGTAATCTGCATCTGTCTTAACTTGGTACCATTTTCATTAAATAAGAATAAAAATATGAGCTCTAAGCACGTAAAACACTTTTACCTCTTGATGTTGTTGCTTAATCTGGGCGGTGCAGCTATCAAACGAGGAACTGCACTTTACAATTAGTGATACCATCCTGAAGTTGGTTTTTCAGGTTTGATATTTCTTGCCGGAGGACCTTTATCTCTTGAGCAAGCCCCCCGCAACTGTCCACCATTAGCGTTGTTTAGCGGAAGCAGAAGAAGCAGCCAGGGCCTGAGTCAGTTTATTAAATGACAGACAGGGAACTGAACTTCGTATCTTCGGTACGTTAGAATTTTTGTTGTTGTGTTTCCAAAAATCAAGGGTTCAGAAATAAAATCTAAGTCGATGTTTATGCGACAATGGCCAAACGGTTCAGGCATTGGACTGCCGCTTGTAAAGGACATTTTTCGATCTTCGTCGAACACTGAATATTGCGGTGAACCTGCTTATATCACAAGCATATTAAATAGATGATTTTAGCTTACGATTATTAGACCAACAGTAATTTACACGCCAGAAAACACTTGAAATCTTTAGGTACCTACCTGCCTACCTTCACAAATGCTTAATGGAGTCGCTAACAAATAGAATTGCTGAGTATCATTTTGAAATAAGACTACTCATGGTGTCAATGGCAAAAATAAAAACCTTGTTAGCAGTCTTATTTTAAAAGGATGTCAACGATTTTAATTTTACCCTGTACTAGCTGACCNTATAGATGTACATACGAGTATATCTAAGTAACGGGTGTTTTTTTTTAGAGGTACTTATACAACTTTAAATTGGTTACACTGTTTCTAATGATAGTTAAATTGAAGGGTACAGGGGCAAAACAAGAAATGTCACAAAAACAAAAAGTTATGTAATGAACATTTAAAACATTCTTATGTGTCACTTAAAATTATAAACTACTAATATGAATACATATGACTATTACTTGTTTTTACGCTTTTTGTATAATTTCAAATAAAAATACGCGGGAAATCGAAAATATTGCCATCAAAAATATGCTTTTGAATTTTAGGGACATCCTTGTTTTACCCCTTCCCTTCAATTTTGATAGTTGGTGGTACATTTGTGGACAGTATGTTTTGACATTTCATAATTAAATAGAATTACTTCAGAACAACGCTTGCAAATTGTGAAAAAATGAATTTTAAAAAACATGGTTCAGTTTTCCATACAAACGTCCATATTACGGTCGACGTAATTTTCGTAACTTTTCATTCCTCAGATGAATGATATTAATGTGGCCGAGCTATGGTTTCAACAAGATGGTGTTACCATCTAACCAGCTCGCGACACATTCAATTTATTGCGGGAAACATTCGATGAGCGCATAATTTAACGTCATGGATCTTTGAATTTGCCTCCACAATCAGGTGATCTTACACCTATGGATTATTTTCTCTGGGGATGTGTGAAGTCCACTACTGCGCAGATAAACTATGGAATTCAATGCCAACATTCGTCGCGTTGTTGGCATTGGCGCGGCCCCAGTTGCCCGAGAAAGAAATTGAAAATTGGACATCTCGATTACGCTACATTTGAGCCAACCGTGGCACCCTTAGGCCCGAAATAATTTTGAAGCATAAATGCCTTATGAACATCTTTTAAATAAGACCATTACCATACGAATAAAATATATTTTTACATATTTTATTTCATTTTGAAGTTGTATACCTTTAAAAAACACCCTATAGTAGTGGGATTCTAGAAGCCGATGATGATGATGGTGAAAATCCATCACTGGGTGGTTGGTAGTCATAAGTTTAACCAAGTCGTTAGATTAAATTAAACAGGGTGTGTGACTGATGAGGCTAGGTTTGTGGTCCTGACGTACCTAAGTAGTAGTGTGGTAGTAGTAGCATCATACATACTTAAGTTACAATATTACATAGTGGAATTTTGAAATTTTGTAATACCTACGAATTTTGACTGTTGACTCATGCTTGAGCGTGGTATTTTTATATCCGTACTTTTAAATAGTAGGTATTAGGTACTTAAGTAAGTAGTTTATTTAACAATTTTCTTTATACAACTGCTCATGTGTATTAAATACACTGTTAACTCATTTGTTTGTGTTTTGAAGCGAAACAGTAATTTCACTTTTCATGAAGTTATTTTCAATTATAACATCAAGTTTATTTAGTGTAGCCAGTACCTTCCATGTTGTGTTGTCATTTCCTTACAGCAGGTTTGCGTTTTAATTTTCACATGCGTTCTATCAATAAATCAGTACAGTTTGGGTTAGAATCACAGAAATAATCACTATAACCCGAACTCAATCTAGCAACATGTTTAACAAATAAGTAGGCACTAAGTAGGTATTCATTCATTTTATTTACTGAGAAAAAGAGGAAAATCTTAATAAATCGCGACTCAGTTATAGTAAACTTTAAAAGAAAGTTAGACGTATACAACTTAATACTTTTTAGTTACAGCAGTTATACTTTCTTAGTTACAGCAGTTACAGTGTCTGCTGCTGAATTTTCCAAAATTATTTTTTTCACAAAATAATGAAAGCTAATGCCTGTTTTCACCATCGATTAAAGTGAAAAATTTTTAGGTGACCCCTATAAAATCACAATCACACCTGTTATGTGTGTACCATAGGGGTCACTTAAAAATTAGGGATTGGTGGTGAAAACGGGCATAAGGCTTTTCTGATTTTTCTGTTTTTAGAGTTTCGTAGTCCTGACAAGGAACTCATAGTTTCGATATGTCTGTCTGTCTGTCTGTCCGAGGTTTTTTTTATTATTTTTCGTAAGAGTCCGCAATTAACCGGACCAAACTATCGGCTTACAAAAGTCTGTAGTCTGCGGGGTGTATTTTTAAGCTAAGTGAATATGATAATAATGCTCTTGTTAGGAATAAGTACGTGGAATAGTTTCAGCGGTCGACAGGGATCGAACTTCATCGATTCATGATTCGAACCATCGATCGAGTTCAATACCGAAACCGTTGGGTTACTTACTGTCGACTCTACTATTATATAAAATATTTTATATGTAAATACAGGTATTTGCCCAGTCAAAACAGATGGAAAATTAGGCTTTTAACTCTCAAGTTTTAAAGAGGGAATTAGTTAGCCAGTAAAATACTGCCTATAGGTACCTAGTAATCACTTCACAATTTAGTTACATAAATTAATGATATAAAAATAGGAAAGGAGACATTATTCAGAGCATATAAAATAAGCACAGCATAGTTTTCAAGAGTTACTTATGGTCTGAGTCTGAGAGAGTCGTACAACTTTCAGACTGTCAGTATAATACTGTCTAATTAAAGTTTACCATCATACCTAGGTCATCATAGATTAGGTTAGGTTAGGTTAGGTTACTTACCATCATGGGGTGCGATGGTGAGGGACCTCCACGTGGTGCATCCTGGGCAACGTCCGCGTGTTCTGTCACGCGGGCGGCTGACTCTTCACCTGCGCGGCAAGTTACGTCAACTCGGCGGGCCTGTCGGGCAACCCGTAACCCCNGGGGAGCTGAGATCCGTTATCGCGTCAGACCGTAACATCCGAACCCACATACACTGATTAATACGTTTACCTTACTTATTATGCTGCAGCCAGGCAGAAAGAATATCTTGTAGACATAACGAATAGAGTACCTATGCTGTATATCATAACATGTAGGTATATGATAAACGTCACAGTTATCAGATAATCGCTTTATGGACAAATTGCTTGGTTTCGGGAACTTGTATCATGCAGCAAAGATTTTTGATAGATTCGGAGCAGCATAGATTAGATTAAGTGTTATGTTTTAATTTTACCTGCTCATTAAACATCTGAATAAGAACAACTTAGAACTCATGGTAAATAGGGTAATGAATTAGAAAGTTTTTAAGAATTTATTTTTATTACATATTCTGCATCATTTATATTACGAAAGTTGTATCTATGGCAAGGGCAAGTAGTTCTATTAAGATTTTTAAGATTATTTACAACTGAGTTATAAATAAATTAAGAAGAAAGAAAATTATAATTTACTAGCTGACCTAGCAAACATTGTTTTGCACCCAGGGGTATGAAAAATAAAATTTGCGTCCTATTCTCAGACCTACTAACTATTTACTAATATTCACAAAATAAGAATGGGCCAGTCAAGCCGTTTCAGAGGAATTTTGTTACAAACGTGACTCTAGAATTTTATTTTATTAGATCAAAACAGGATACTTAACTGATCTATTTATTCTCTTCTGAGTCTTGCAAACCTTTTAGCTATAATGAGACACCATTTAGAGATAATTTTATTGAAATTGTATTAGATGAATATTATTTCTAATTTGTAGTCCACTGACACGACTCGATATCGCTTTTACTTTCTTTTAATCGTAAATAGCAAATTGTTCCTAGTGTTGTTACGTCTGTACCGGAGGCGCGATCCTCGGCCACGCCACCGCTAGCATGCGACCTGCGCCCGCGCGAGCGACCTTGCACCCTGCGCAAACGCTGATAAAGACCGAATTAATATTTCCCACATTCAATTCAGCCAACTAATAGACTGAAACCGGTCGTCCGTGAGTGAAATGTGGGACTGAATGGTCCTCACGGTAAACGCCAACACACGTGTAATTACGCGCGCGCACACAAGCTCACGACAAGTGCAACACTCGGTGCAATCGGCAACAGATATGTGTCTCGCTTTTTGCCGTGCATTTTATTGGAGAAATTCACTTGGAAAATGGCTCTCGATCATTTTCAAGTTCAGTTACGTAAGTACGCGTGTGGAGAATTAGTGCGGAATAGCGGATGTTTGGTGGTGCTCGACGGCGAAGTGGCGCACAGTTATAAGCTCTCACCCGCTCCACTGCCCGTCAGTTGCCGCCAGACCACCCTCTTATACGTCGATTTTTAGTTTTAGTGCAGTGTGTGAAAACCGAAACAAACATGTGCAACCCTTTCCGGATAGCCATCGTCTCTGTTATCTGTATGGTCGTCGCCTCCGGCCATGTACACGGACCTCGAAGATCCCGCATTATGGATTTAGAGGATTATGCACAGAACGAAGTCGACAGCGGAAGAGCTGATGAGAGCTCATGGTGGCCCTCGGCAGAATTCACCGTCTTACAGAAGATTTATGATGATTGCAGTGCGCAGAAACAATTCACGATGTGTTTAAAAGGCAAAGCTCTTACGGCGCTCACTAGGGCTGTTGAGCAGGTGACAATGTGCTTTTTGTGCAGGACGATAGTGATGTTGAAGTGATGGATAGTGTATTAATAGTATCTTGTGTTGTAGGAGAGCGTTCAGCTCGCTGACGGCTTGACTCTGGTGAAGCAGGCTGACGCGCCCTCCGCGGTGGCAGAGCCTCGGTTCTTCCCTGGGATGACAGCCGAGGACAAGGTCGACACAATGCTGCGCACCAAATTCGAGCAATTGATGAACACTCACACGATCTCTATGGATCTTGCTTCGGAAGGCAGAGGCAGAGGTTCGTAAGATTTAACTTAAAGTGTTTGCCTAAATTAGTGAAATGTATTACATCATAATTTTTATTTTTTGTGTAGGTAAGAAGGTTCTGCCCTACCTGCTGCTTGGCATCTTCACAACCGTGAGCATAGTTGGCGGTATGGCTTTGAAGACTCTAGCAGCCATTGCTGGTAAAGCGCTCATCGCCAGTAAGGTGGCTCTCACTATTGCTGGAATCATTGCTCTGAAGAAGCTGTTCAGTCACGACGGCAATAATGGTGAAACTACCTTCCAAGTTCATGCAGATGGACACCATAGGTAATTTAACATTTAATTCATAATGAATTTCAAGAATTCTAAAGTAATTAAGATATTAGAAACAATTTGTTATCTGATGAATATTGAATGTGCTCTACCTATGTTTATTTGCTTATATTTTTTGTTTTTTCACTTCGTAGTTTTTAATTCTAAATATTTTAATTCTAGTCTTTAATTCGAAGGCGGAATCTATATGTGGTGAGGCCAGCAAAACCAGGCTTGGTGGACCCGTATCGGTATTATGCGGAGCAGACGACCGAGAGCACGTAAGCAGTTGAGCGGCAGAGTTATGGGCCCTCGAACTGCCCAGCCACTCCGCAGCTCCTGAGCAGCCGCTGAGCAGCTACCAGCAGCCGCTGAAAGCTATCAGCAGCAGCTGAGCAGCCCCAGCAGCCGCCAAGCCCCTGGCCCGGCCCGGACGCCTCCGCCGCCACCGTCGCCTCCGCCATGCCGACCCACAAAATAACCTCAAACCAAAGTACCGTCCAATTTGGACATCCTTCTTAGACGAATCGGTCGTCCACTCTTGCTCTCAAATCTATGTCAGTAAATTATTTAATGTAATTTATTTATTTGTGACTACGGTTGTATGTTGAATGTAAATTAATTTACTAAGTGATGTAAGATATAAATAAAAAAAACATTACACAGAATCTAGTTTCATTCTCCATAGTATGTGTAAGTATTGAAATCAGTGTCAATTTTATGACAAATAAATAATGAAAAAGAGCTTGTTGTTATTTATTTAGCTATCACTAAGTAGGCAGGAGAGACAATAATGTCAATTACTGTCTAATCCCAAAACTAACTTTGGCCAGCCCCCCTAGACAAAACGCACTTTTTGATCGAATCGAAAATCGAATCCGTCAAATTCCATACAAAAAAGGGGCTTTTCGACCACTTTTCGACTGGTTTGCGATTATAATGGCACTTTGTCTAGACCCACTAATTAGGTAATTCTGTCACATTCACTATAATAAATGAAAGAATTAGGTAATTTATGATTATCGTAATTGGAACTGTGTTAGACTTGATTGAAAAGACAGAAAGAATGATCTGGAAAAAAGAAAATTATGTACATAATGAGTATGATGAATAATTCAGTAGAGTAGACATGAAAAGACCTGAGAGTGTCGCCGGAGGCTCACTTGCGCACCCATTGCTCCTCATTGGTAATGCATCAGAGGTGTTCCATGCTTATGGTTGTTAATTAATTACCTGCAGCAGTAACCCGCTTTCTTTATTCGCTCTAGTGGAGAGGAGTCCGTGAAATGTGTCGAGATTTTCCGTTAAAGTAGGTGCAGCGGGTATGAAGTGGAAAGTAGAAAGTCTTAATCGATTCACTGCACATGCACGCATGCTACATGTACCTGGGCTTGTTATGATCTTTTCTGCCTTACTGAATATCGAGGTAATGGTGCACAATATTTGCTGATCGACACCGGATCAAGATCTATCTGTAAATATCTTAAATTCTGTATTGATTCTGTAGAGAGCTTTCGACGTCTTTGGGCTGAAACTTTCTTCTTCTCATCGTACTTACTTATGCACGATTCAGAATTTTAGATATACTCGTATTTATTAAAAAACACTGGCATTGTAATTTTTATGTTAACGATTTTTTTCGATTAGATCCGGGTTTGTAAATATTTGTTGTGGCATCAGCTTAATTACTCGGCTGGTATCCGCCCGCTAGAGCCCGTCGGTTAGGCAAACACGGTCTGTAGAGGAGCGAGTATTGAAGTGTGGTGCATCGTTTGTCCGGCAGCGGAAGGTCAGCACGTTGATTAGCGCCGGTAAAGGCCGACCGCAGCGCGTTTGCGAGCCCGGACGCTGTTTATAATGCAGATATGTGTTTGCCCAATCGCTGCACGCTACGCTGGCTATATGGCATCGTTAATGCGGCTGCCGTCTCTTTGCATACGCAAATATAGGGCGGGCGGTCCGGCACTGATTAAGCGGTGCGCCGATCGTGCCGTTGGCTTCATTTCTGCTCTTGGAATAGTGTGTCAGTTGATTAGTTTTCAGGCTTACATGTCAGCGTAGCTCGTTTCCATAGGCATTTTGACGTGCCTGTAGTAGCGGTGAGGGTCTATAGTAGACTAGACGATCTATATCTATGTAAGTGCACGACTAGTTAATTCCATGAGGAATTTGGGCTGGCGGACGTTGTCCAATATTACTTACCGCCAGCGCAGCGCCTGCCCACCAGCGTTCAATACTTGATGTGCGTCTACGTCTCGATTTGGGGCACCATCACGGTGGTGTCTCAACAGATGACTTATTTATCGAGGTAAATTCGAATGGGTGCATATAGAGCTGTCTAGTTGCATATTCTATTTAGAAACGCTATGCAATGTTACATGTACATTATTCATTCATTCGAAATTACATTTTTAGATCAATTCTAATAATTTAACAAGAGGTAAGCGTGATTAAATATTGATAAATATCAAAATACGCTCAACATTAATAAAGTTAATAAGCCTTTTGATTAATACCAAATATGCGAGAAATTATTCGGAAAATGTTTAAAAGGACGTTTGAGTGATTTAAAGTATGTAGCCATTAGCTAGCTAATGAGCTGTTGAACATAACACGCTTTGTGGAAAATTAATTGGATGGCCATTTTACGATCGTTAGATTTGCAATTATTAATAGCCTTTTTTGTCCTGCTCTTTTTTGGAAGAATCTGGTAAATATGCATTACTTAAGAGTTATAGATATCCATTAACTTAAACAATTAAAACGTGTGCCTAATTTAGCGGCGTCCAAAAAAAAACAGATAAACAATGGATGTAGGGGGAATAATCAGAACTTTTGAATGGATAATTATTTAGTAGGTACGCTTACAAAAGCAAATGATTACAAGCTGTGACCAAAAACTTTATGGTAATAAGGATCGAACTCATACAGAACTGGTGAAAAAACAATATGAAAAACATTGGAGGACTTAGGATATTATGAGGAGCCGCGTCGTGTAGCGAAGTTAGCGCACGGTCGGCTGGTCAAAGTGTCCGACATAAACCTATTTTGTTCTCTTCTTATATTGGATGTGCGCTCCCTTCTTCCCTGCCGTCCGCTGTCCTTCGATGCAGGGCTGTGTTTTTATTTATAAATAAATACCATATCTTTTGACATATCATAGTAAAAACAAAGCGAAAGGATATAAATATTTTTTGTAAATGTCCTGAAAATCCCAAAACCAATCAAAACAGATGCTCTACATCAGCACATCGCAGATATTTGTATTGTTTCGGTGTCAAATAAATGACTCCTTGCTAGCAGTCTACTCTACTGTGTTTTATACCTAGTCACGTACGCGAACGACCACCAGGCAGCCGCCAGCTAGCCAGCTTTGCTATTATTATTTATGTCAATATTTTTTTGTGTAACATTGAAAAAAAGAATCTTTTCCTTCACCTATTTCTGGATAAAGAAATGTAGCATACATATACGGGCGTGAAAAAATGGATCATGTTGCGTTAATTAGCATGATTTGCATCGAAGTATGTATTGAAGCTCGTATTAATGAAATTACAGGGCTGCTTAAATTGCAATAAAATCATATGAAAATTAATAGCTTTTGCTCAAAAATGCAGCGATAGCATAAATGGAATATGAAATCATTTTTAATCGACTTCTTTAGATGAAGTATTGAAAGTGTTTACCTATATTTTTTTCTTTTTTACGTGGATATTATAATTAGAAAAACATCTTTCATCTCAAGCATGCTAATTATAAATAACAACTGTTGATAATATCAACTTCACTCCGTCTCAGATTTCTATTTGAAGATAAGACGAACACTTTCTGCACATCACAGATCGTATTTCTACTGCATTAATTTTGCTTTCATTTATTCTTAGTAATTTTCTAGATACACTATTTTCTTGTAATAGCATTATTATCATCCCTAATTGAAATCNTTGATTATATCCCTAATTGAAATCGATTTCTTTTGTCTAATTATCAAATGTGAATTTTTTTACAGTCTGCTACATAAATTGACGTGTCGTCAAAGTAAATGTATACAGGGTGTTAGGTAAATGGGTATATGAGCCGACACTAGCCCATGTTAACATGGGCATATAAATGGTATGGTGAAGTCAGAAATTTGATATCATCATTTTATTTCTTTTATTTTTACACAATAAATTTTATAAAATCCGATTTGTATGAAAATTAAAATAATTAAAATGAAGATATCAATTTTCTGTCTTCACCATACCATTTATATGACCATGTTAACATGGGCTAGTGTCGGCTCATATACCCATTTACCTAACACCCAATATAATGGCACAAAATGACAAAAATAATAAAAAAATAGTGCAATCGATTTTTTTACATTTTGTTGACTTTGTGGACACTGTTGTTTTATTGCCACTGATGTAATCTTATGTTATAGGTACATTATAAAAATTAATTAAGAAGATGTCTTTTCTAAATAGGTACTTGCGTGTAACATTGAGCGCAAAAATACACGCACGAGAGTCTATGGTATTTTGATGGTAAAGTAGACACCAAGGCACAGCCCTACACGTGGGCGGGATCAGTGCGGAAGTTTTGCCGGGAATTATGTTGGTACGTGCCGAAGCCATTATTGCTGCGAGAAAAGTTCATCAAATTCATTTCTGGCGCTCGCGCCGGACGACGTTCCACACGCCTGCCTCACACATCGAGTTTCAACTTTCGCAAAGCATAATGGCCTAAAATAAACCGATTTTGCCAACAGAGGGTCCAGAGAATAAAGGAGAATTGAATTAAACTGATTGTTTGACGTTTTTTTAAAAAATTTTTGAAGGTATTGTAAGAAATCAGCGTTGTAAGAAGAAGAAAAAAACATCCAATTATAGATGACCCACGCTGAACTGTCCCGCCAAACTCAATGACAGGGGGGCGCTACCATCGTTCAACTATATGGTTTCCAACATGGCAAAAATCGGAACCAGCGATCCGGTATTGACGGTGGCGCCCCACTGTCAATGTCATCGATAGGACAGTTCAGTATTTTGGAACTATATGAGTAAATTGCTAGAGTTTTTACGTTGAAATATTGACAATTAGTTTTTAATAAGTTCTCCAAAAAAGTTATTACCGTTTGAAAATTTAACCCTTTTAATATTTATTCTGTAAATTAACAATACGAAACTACGCGAAAATTCGTGTCCATTTGAACAAGTGCACCGGAGTGAAAGTAACTGCATGTGCACGCGTCTGTTTGTAATGGAATTATTGAAATCAAAGTGCATTTCAAATGCAGTTGCCAGCAGAACTTTACTTTCTAAATTTCTCTCTAGATTAAGTTAAGATAGCAAAATCACTGTGTTATTGAAGATTAGTAGAGCTGTATCATTTACTCAGATTTAATAATAGATTAAGATAAAATTGGATTAATACAAACTTTTTTGATTGTTTTTAGTCACGTATTGACATGACATGATTTTCCGTTAGGTATACTGCACAAACCTGTTCATTGATTACAACGTTCGTGCAATCCGTGACCATTATTTCTGGAAAATTGAAAACGTATGAAGGAGCGTTAACGGTTTTCTTGACCGTCCGTGCCGTGTAATACGTCATTAAGCGTTATTTTCTCGTTGCACGTGCACATTTATAATGCCATAACGAGTGCAGTGGGGCAGTCATCGCGACGAGACGGCGTCCGGTGGACCGTAAATGTACTAGGAACACTATTTACTACGCATCATTTTTACCGTATGTGG